TGAAAAGAATTCATCAAAATTCATTGCGTGGCCCAGCCTCCCTTGTATCTCTAGTCTGCGACCCAGATCCAGGCCCGGAAACAGACCCAGCAGACCCTTCCTTATCTTTCCCCTTACCCCTCCTCGAGAAATCGAAAAGTCGATATTTACTCGTCGGATCCCTGGACAAGCTGGCCTGTCTCCCCTTAGCATTTGCAGCCGTCTCCGGATACTCAAGCGAATACGTCGAAGAGTTTTTCGAGCTTTCCGCGCTCTCACGGGGTTCCGCAAATTTCTGCGGGTACTGGTGCTGCTGCAGGAGTTGCTGGTGAGAGGAAACTGAAGAGTAAAACGGGAGCCGACCATGTTCCCATGTCGCTGACGCGGAGCTTGACGGGGCATCATCATCCATATCGTCGCCTAGACTGACATCCGTAGACCGGTGTTGGAAAGGTGGTCGAGGAAAATAGCTCATCGAGTTCCGCTTACTGCCCGCTATAGTGGCTGAACTGCCACCAGGGGTCATCGCAGTTTCAATGCTGGGGGTTCCCGCCTTGCTGGAGCTTTCCTCGTAAAACGTCGAGGACTTCTCCATCTGCTCGACAAGCTCTTCCCACTTCAATTCCAGATTGCCGCTTGGCCGCTCTGCCAGTTCGGCTCTGTTCAGGCAATCCTTTGTTCGTTGGTTCAGAGCCACGCAGAGTTGATGGAACTTGAGGAGAGTTGGATCGAGGTCTTGAAGCTCGGTAAAATCCTTCGGCACTAGGTCGAGCCATAATTTTACGAGCATGGCAAAGCTTCTCGCATGGTCGATGAGGAATGGTAGGCTTGGGAAGCCCTCGCGCGAGGTGGAGGGTAGACGACCTAGGATCTGAATGGGAGTTGCATATGACGGGTTGACGATCTGGGTCGGGCGCTCAGCTGGTATGGAGCAGATCGAATCGACAAAATTTTTAAACTCAACCCGGTGAGAGATTAGGAATTTGTTCATTGGCTCCATCCAGGGTTCTTTGTTGCCAAAAGTCGTCATGTTAGCTAATCCTTGAAGTGCCTTAGCAATGAGAGTAAGGGTACGTTGAGCACGCGGTCGAGGGTGTTCTAGTAGCATATTAGCAGCGGAACATGAGGTATTAAAAGTATACATGGAGAAGCCCCCAAGGCACAAACCTTTAAGCAGTCCAAACAGCTTAGGATTTAGAATTGCCGGACAAAAGAATCGCAAGAAAAGGAAACCGGAAACGGAACTATAGGTAACTGATCGAAGAAAGTCGCCATACCTGTCTTCCGCACAGGCCCTGATATGTCGGAAAATATGTCTCAAATCCGGAGGACATCGCGAAGGGGAAGCAGCAATCGACGTCCACACACTACTCGTCAAAATGATAAGATTCCTCCAATTCCGTTCCAGATCCTCAGACCGCTGTACCCTATTAGGATCAATTTCGCAATCCGGATCGCTCTCATCGATATCCCTAAGTTTTGAGCCAATCGTTTCCTCCAGATACTCCTGTCCCAGTCGACGCATATGCAAATCCAACGCCTTCGTTAAAAGCGAGTTGCCTCTGAAAAGCAAATTCGCCTCGACGGTGGCTGATCTACCCAAGTCACGAACCAGGACTTCCCGCTCCTGTCCGGATTCATAGGAGTCATTTGAATGGATGCGGCTGGTGTATCGTAGCCGGCTAGTCGATGACTCTTTATGAATACCATCTATCTCGTCCTCGACCAGCGCCATGATCCATTCCCCAGCTTGACCCGACACTTGGAATATATCCAGTAGTGTTTCCGATAACGGTCGCAGCTCAGCGGGGACAACCTGAGCAAGATGAATTGTAAGACCATTCGGAAACGAATGTAAAAGTTCAGACATCGCCGCGTAGTCCTGCGACATTAGCACGACAGTTTCGTCAAGTTGGACCTTCATCAGCATTTCCCCAACCTGCTGATCCTTTTCGTCAAGAATAGGCCACCACTTCTCAACTCCTGCCGATGTATCTAGTTCTTCTAATCGCAAGTAGATTTTACCGTAGGTAGCGTCATGCGAAGCAACCTCAACGTCTCCAACTGTCATTGGATTGACTTCCCCTTGGTTGAGCGAATAAGGTCCATGGGTGACGAGTGTCCAATCCTTCTGCGTAGGGGTAGGTGACTTCACAATAAGTGATGCGCTAGACAGGACTGGCGGAAGATCGTGGAAGCTGAAATCTTCCCTCCAAAACGGCGTGGAGGTGGCAGATCTGACGGCAGTTTTGGCTCTTATTTCCCCATCAAGTAACACCTCAGCGTAATATTCACCAGCAACCGAGTTTTTATGCAAAATTTTCCCAGTACCTGATTGGTTTTTAACTATCTTTTTGTTCTTCGAGCTATCATTTTCGTCCTTGACAGCTGGTGAGGTCATCTTGGCCTCGATTACTCGTACTGTCAAGAGTCGTTCGATCCGGAACATGTCGGTGAGAGCTGTTGGGGGAGGTGAAGATACAGGTTGAGCTCGAGAAGCCTCGTCGTTCGCTGGAAGCTGCTCTGGACCGTAGAGCTCTGGTATTGTAAACGCTCTGAATAGAACAAACCAGACTTCGAAGAGAATGCGGAACTCGAAAGACAAGTATATGGGTCGAGATGTGACTTCAGCCCCGGCGTGGGCAGTGTATTGCGGGTAGATGGCGATGCAGTATTCGTCTTCAAGAACGGAAGGGTCTAACTTTTGAATAGCACAACGAGAAAGTTGAGAGAGCTGCACAAAGTGAATAGGCGTAATATCCGTTTCTGGGAAAATTTTAACATGACCATTTTCTTGTAAGGAGCAGCTCACTCTTCGCCATGATGAAGATAACACCCTCTGCTGCTTGAATGTCGATATCCTTGCAGAGGATGTAGGGAGATGAACCCCGGCCGCACTAGACTTGTCCCAGAGAAGCATTTTCCCTACTTTAATTATAGCAGCATCTTTTTGCATGGTGCTTTCGGAATTCCTTCGACGGTCAGAACAGCGACGTTCACCAATCGTAAAATTCTGTGGTTTGGTCATCTTATCCTTTACGCCCTTTGGTCGAATGGGCTGCCAACAGAGTAGGGCCGCGAGCCAAGAATCGAACGTTTCGTTGACTTGGGGGCGTAATTGAATGCCTAAGGTGGATGAATGTGTCGTCACGGTAAAATACGCGCTCTGGGTTTCTGAGTCGTACAGAGTCCGAACATGGCAGCCACGTAGATCTGGTATCAAGGTCTTTGCAAGCGCTGGTTCTCCTTTAGCTTGATAAATCAAGCTTCCAGTAGCGACATTGATGGCACAATATCCCGAAGTCCAAGGGCCCACAGGATCTGTGCGAAAATATAGAATTCCGTGCATTCTGCCGCAAGTTGTCTTCATTAATTGAAGTATTTTCGAAGAGTCTGTGTTCAGCAATGGGGAACCTAGTACGGCATCAATGCGGGATATGTTCGACATTAACGACCCTCCTCCAAGAGGCGCCTTGATCAATTTCTGTTGTCGTTGGGTGGGTGACTGGATAATAGAGGGAAAGCCAATGGATCCAACAGAATCTTCTTGAGATTTGGTGCTTGGTGGTGAAGTCGTGTTGAGGGAGCCTAATCTGTTCCGCGTTCTTGAGAGGAAATTGGGGGATACCTCACTTCTCTGATCTTCCAGAGTCGTAGTCTTTGACCGTAACCTTCGACTTCTCTGTTCAGACGGGTTGTCATCCTCCTCACCGGTAGAAGAGAAAGGGGTAGTGAAGTCTCGCTTGGGATCTGGAGGTCTACTGTGAATGGTTGTGCGGGGAGACGTTGTCTCGCTCGAGGCAAGGTACTCTGTGTTGGATATGGGGAAACTATTCGTTTGATCGGTCGGGGTGTCGGGGGTTACCGCTCGGATTGTGGCATCTTGAAAACTGTCAGGATACACAACCCCAGGACGATCCCTAGAAGAAGATTTTCTACTGAGCCTCCGTTCCACCGGGCGACTATAACTCTCCTGCCGGGCAGAGTTCCGCTTCAGCCCATTGCGACGCTCAGTCTCCATATTTCCCATAGTCCTCAACTACACTCCAGCGTCCGCACAGATATATCGGGGAGCAGAAGGCATGCACTGGCCCAAAGGGGGGAAGGCAAAGGAATGAAGATTGTCTCTGAAAATGGCGTACAGGCGGTTGGACAAGACACACAGAAAGTTCTGCAACTAGATAGGTAGGTCACGCAGACGTTAACAAACGGCTATTTTGGCTGCAAGAAGTTGAAAACCCAGGTGCCTTCCTTTTTCACCCAGAGACAGAAAAACCTTTGAGTGACGAACCGAATAGTGGGACATCGATCGAATTGGGTGCAGGTGGAGGTGGATAGCAAGGCGAATGTCTAGTCCTTGGCCACCAAGCTAATCCGATCGAGTCTTGCCCTAAGCCTGGGGAGCCTGTAGTTACTGACGCTATCGAAGTAATCATTAGCATTTTAGGAGACGGGATGCGCCATGAAATTGGGGGGTTCAATTGTAGGAGACGGGTTAAATACTGCACAAGAGAAGGCAAACAGGAAGGTCAAAAAGACGACAGGAAGAGATGGGACAAAGGGGAAAAAAAAGATATCAGCTGACACAGATACAGGCAAGCAAAAGGTAGGAAAAATGTTTTTTTTTTTTTTTTTTTTTTTTTCCCTTAAAAAAAAAAAAAAAAAAAAAAAAAAAAAAAAAAGGGATTAAATTACTAAAAGAAAAAGGGGAGGAGAAATGGAGCATGCCGTCCACCAACCTTCATCAATGTTCCTTGGATTGCCGATAAATCAAGATGCGCATTCTCCAGAGAAGAGTGAAGCCGCAGCAAATGAGTGACTGGAATGGGATAGGAATGGGATAGGAATGGGATAGAACGGCAGGTAAAGAGAGCCAATGTTGTCACAGTCAAAGAATTGGGAATAAAGAGTCGGGAAGAAGGAAAGTGAGATAGGCGAAGTGGAATTAGTTTTGGAGAGGGGGGGGTGGGATTCTTTAGTTTTCCACCTTAACTAGTAACTTAACGCAATTTTTAAACGGGTCAGGAATAATAAGGAGACCTCAAATATCCCAAAACACCCACACCACGGACCAGGGAGGAGTGCATGAGGTGAGTGGGCAGCGCAGCCAGTCGGGATGCCACAGCGGGACCACCAATTGCCATAGACACAGGGCCGGGAGGGATGCGCTGGGCGGGAGTGGTGGTGGTGGTGGTGGTGGTGGTGGTGGGTTGATCGGGGGAGGTTGAAGTTGTGGATAGGGATGTGGTTGGTTTGTTGCTACCGCCTACCAGTTGCTGGGCGATCAAATTCCGAGGAAAGAAAGGTCGTGTGTATCGTGATACCGTATTGCCGCCGTGGCTGCCTTCTGGGGAAAGCGGTGAGTAATATTTACCAATGAAATCGATTTGGCATACCGCCGGTTGGTAATGCACCGGTATTCAATGTATGGTTGTTCGCCGGTGTCCCCTCCTTCACCTGGACGCTGATATATACCTACGTAGGTACCTCTTGTTTGTACGTTTGTAATGTACTGTTTGCAGTATCTACTACTTACACTTCCAGAGGGGGCTAATGCGAGTCTTGGCTTTTTGTTTTCCAAGTAAATGCAATATCTCAATCAAGATAGAAGTTAAAACTTCTATGAAATTTTACTCTATTTTTAAGTTGATTATCCTTAAATGATTTTATTTAAAAAGCTTTTAACTTAACATTTTCGTTCTTTCTTTTTTTATTCATTTCTTCCTTCTCTTTAGGAGCCTGCAAAATCTGCAAACTTCAGATCACCCTTCCCATCAAAAAGCAGACTTGGAGAGCCAATATCAGCCAGAAGAACCCTCTTACTGTGGATGTAATGTAAACCTTACGCAAGCCGTAAAAAGACCATCTTTGAATCCGCTGTGATGAAAACAGTGTCTCCATTTCTTGAAAACCTTTCAGGCGCAGACAGGAGGTTCTTTCAAGCGTTCCATTACAATGCCTCTTTCTGGTAAAAGCGCAATAACATAAACAATTCAAACCTGCCAGTCTAGTCGTGTATACATTCGCCTTTCAATTTCGCGGTTACGTTCGTTATTAGCGGTTGGATACAGCCTTTTGACAATCTCATGAGATTTATTTTCGGAAACGACGCCAAACCCCCCCCCCCCCCCCCCACGGCAACTTGAGGCAGACTTGCAAGGTCATGGAAGGACCAAATATTGGATTCCATTGGTAGAAAGACAAACGATTGAGATGGGAAAACACGCGAAATCCGAGACTTCAGATTGTGAAGGTCACTATGATTTACTTAGTAGGTAAATCAACCTCCTGAGCGTCAAATCTGCAAGGTGTTTATGAAGCTTGACTTAAACATGCCGCTCGGAAAGAGTATTTTGACAGTATTAATGAGCGGGGGGATGTGGGTCAACAGGATGATCCCTAGTTCCCATAACGTGTGTAAGAGAGAGAGGTAACTAGTTAACTGAAGTGTCAGTTGAGATATAGACAGCCTTGGCATTATTAGAGTTTTGATTTCATTAGGGCTATTTAACCACAACCCCAAGTCAACTGCAAGCTCTCTTACGATTCACCTAGAGCATTACATACTCTTGAGGTTTTGTTCATTATTTTATTCAAAAAATCCACTTCTTATTTAAAGACATATGAGGACATCAATCTCTTATTTCAAAATTTCATCTTGACATAAATTTCATTTCACATAAATATGCATATTCACAATTCATAATTCATCAAAAAGTGTCAAGGAAGCAAATCATCTGAACCGGGAATTTTATGTCCTATAATTATATGAAAATCTTTGAATAGTATGTCATATCTGTAACAGCAGGCAGTAGGCGGTGAGTTGCTCCAGCTGGGGCCTAAGGGAAAGTGATACTGGAGGGAAAAGCCGCCTTAATCGCTGCTTAATTCTCCAGGCGGTTTTTGGCCGCTCTCAATTCCCTGACCCAGCACAATGTCCCAGGGAGCCCCCTCTCGCGCCTATATTATAGGCTGTGCCTTGAACAGTCCTCCAAAAGGTAAATGAATTAACCCATGCGGAACAATTCAAATTACCCATTTTCCTTGAACGTGTGTGACCCTGATCAGAGATTCCTCCATTCTGGGGACCTGGGGAACCCAGCTGTTGATTTTCATTTTCTTTTACCCCCATCCCTCCCATGGAACACATCCACCCAAGCATTCGTCTCCCGAGCGGCCTCAGAAATCTTGGGCGGGTCAGATGACTTGTCTACAGCCTGCATGCCCAGCCGAGTGGACCCGTGGGCTAGCTAATGACAATCGGTTTTTGTAAATCATCGATTTTCCAAATCCGAAATCCCTCGCCCGCAGTTGGAAACCTTGGAACCTTCCATCGTGTTTTCCAGAACGCGCTAGTCCCCTTGTGAACCGAGATCGAGATGTATGCAAGAAACGGTAAGAAAATGGATAACTATGGTTGGTCTTCCAAAGTTCCCCCCACTCCCCAGAGTCACCAGGTGGCAGGCTGGCACCTGAACCTCGCCTCGGCGTCTTTCCATCCACGACTCCCCGCCTTTCGATATTCCATATATGGTTGTGTTCAAGCCCCCACCCACCATTGGTTTTTCGATATCGCTTTCTGTCGCCAGACGCGGATGATGGTAACAATAATAATGGAGCTGCTTCCAGCACGCAAACGATGCTCGTATGCACGGGAGTTAGTTAGTTTACACACACTCGTTACGTAACGAGCTGTCACCCTGCCAAATGCAGCGCTGAGTAACTCCGTAACTATGGCATCCATGGAAAAATTCACGATTTCTCCTTTTCCCCCGAGCCGCTGGCGGAGCCCTCCACAATCCTCAAATTTCACACAACAAAGAAATCATGCCCGTATATACAGTAGTTAATCCCACTTCTTCGCTACCTTGTCCCATCAGTATGGACAGGGGTTCATTCGCGCGTCAAGTTCTTCATCAGTGCATATTTTTGGCAGTTTGCCTGCTGAGTTAGTTACATACGTAACTAACTACATGTAGGCTTCTATCCTTGTCCGTAAGTGGTAGTTAAACTAGTGTGGAATTAGTAGCTATGGAGCTGAGGAGGTTCAATCCTTTGAGACGCTGGGATTCTGGTGTTAAGTAATCGTTAGACCACCGAAGCGGAGATTAAGAACCAATAATCTATCCATTAGTGGTAGTAGGCATTTGCAATTTTTTTCTTTGTGCTCAGCTGAAAGCCCGGGGCTGAGTTGAATGAACCGAATCCCATCTCGTATTGTAAAATGTGTCTTCTAAATACCAGACATGGGCACGTAAGAGTGCATTGTAAAAATCCATCTGCATACTTGGGTGTTCGACTTATTACTCCGTGTTCAACAGCTAGGAAGTGATAGTAAAGAAATATGTAACTCAACTCGGAAAAAACGAGCCACTCCACCATTTGAAGACTACTACCAGTGAAGCTGCCAACGGGGAAATCGATCATTCATGTGACTTGAGCAATGGTAAACTCCAATGCCATAATGCAGAGCAACTCTAAATAGCAATGCAGATGATGAAAAGAGCGCATAAACATTGATACAGTTTTGTTGACTGGGAAAAGCAAAGACATGTTTTCAGCATTGATATGTGCTGAAACCTGTAGTCCCATCGACGGCAGGATCAATTTAGAAATAGTAAAATAATAGAAGCCGTACTATATTGGATGGCTTACAGTCTTTGACAGCTAGCTTCTCTTCGTCAACCCAGGAGTCATGTGTGAAAAGATCGTTCGAGAAAATGTTTAGATAGTGGTCTCCAGACGTGAGATTTCTAGAAGCAGGGGGGAAGATGCCCCGGTATCTCTACTGTCAGGCCTATCCGCCTTCTTATGTAATCCGCACCGTATATAACTTCCGCGTAGCTAGCGATCGCTTCATAATCGATCAAGCAATCTATCCTTCACATCTACAATATCTGAACTAGCATGCTGAATAAAAGGAGATTCGATTTATCCTCACCAACAGACGCGGCGGTAGCAGTTAACCGTGGCCAGCCTATGCCCTAATTCGTCTTGCTGTTCTGGAGGATTGTCAACATAGAAATATTAAATATATATATAAAAGAAATAGAGAATAAAGAAAAGGAACTCACACAAAAGAATAAAAACATACGAAAGCTTTGACTTTTGACTCGCTCGTGGCCACCCACCCAGCTACTAACAGGCCAACAGGTGGCCTGAATACGGCTGAGCAGAAGGGATGCGCTGTTTTCCACTCCCTATGCCCATATGCGAAAAGCGAGGGTTCAAAGGGAAACATTAATCCTCTCGAGGCCAAAAAGTGAGGACTCATGGGTGCCGGGTGTCCTGGATAGAATGATATCAATGGCACCTCACCACTTCTCTAGAGGGCTCTGAGCGTAAAGTACAGCGGGATATGAGCATGCTTTGTGCTCACACAGCCACCTTAAATAACCTTGATGGTCCCCAGGGGTCGTTGATTGTTTGCACCTCCAAAAACCGCGTGACTGTTTTGGATGGAGTAAACACCCGTTTGCATGCGCAAGTGGACGAAATTTTGACATAGATTTCAACCATGAATGATGCTACACAAGAGGCATTGAAGGAGACGAAAGGGACTAGTTTGAGCCAAAGGAAGGGTTAAGGCGGATATTCCAGCAACGGGCACTTTTTCCACCAAAAGAGATGACATGTGAACTTTATACTGTGGAATATATCACCTTTTGGATGCGGACACCCTGATAGGCTAAGAATTAAACATCTAGAAGTTGGGCACTGAGAGGTGAGGATTATTTAAGGTTAAATAGTTAACAATAATTTCTGGACAGTCCCTGTGGGTTCCAAGGTTGTTGCAGCGGCTTAGCGCCAATTTGATTATAATGTTATTTCAACAACCATTCATTCTCCTGGAACATTGACCGAATCTTGCAACTGCAGTATTCAAAGTTTCTGTGTTTAAAGGTTTGTTGAAATACCATTCCTGTCTTGGCTTTAATCTAGGCGGGGCCAGGACCAATCTGAAAATCAAACAGAAACACAAAATGCCCACCGTTAAGTTAAAATAGCTACCAGCTCCTCCATTCTTAGGTCAAACTAGGCTACCCACTTTCCTTTCCTTTGCTCCTTGATGGCATGGGAAGACTTGAAAATGAGCATAAAGAGAATACCCCGTCACTGCAGGTATGCAAAATACTCTGCTACAGAGAGCTTTTATGAGAGTGTCTTTTCTGATATTTACAAAACAAGAACACATTCAAATCTTACATTATTATGGCAGGGAAATTGATCAGAAGGGGGTTAGTTGATTAAGTAGCTGTTTGTAAATTTTATCTCTGTCTTTGTTTTCATTTTCATTTTCATTTTTTTTTCTATGCATATGTCAAAAATAATGCAAAGATATAGATCTTGTATTCATTTCAATGGTGCTTCACTATTTAAGTGATTTCAAGCTATCTGCTGATCTTCAGTTGACTAGAGACAATATCATTCAGCATGCACTATAACTGACTCTAATTATCATGATGACAGATGACTTGTCATAATGGACATAACTCCATATTTTCAATTTTTGTCATATTTCTGATAATGAAATAAATATATCCTGGTAAAACTTGACCTTGCTGCAAGGAAGCTGTCCATCTCCGGGGTGCAGCCTGGGGGTAACTAACCTGGCCGCCAGAGCCCTCTGGAGGTCACATGATCCAACCCCCAAGCTTCCAGTTAAACTAGTTTCAGGCAAGTTGGGTCATATGTCATCGCTCCAGTGCTCGAGTGCCAAGTCCGCCCGTCTTGCATCGACCCCGTGCAGAATTTCGCAGGCCTGCACGGAAGACAACCATCCGCATTATTTAACTTAACTCTTGTAACTGCGGGAGACATGAAAAGAAGAGTATTTTCCTATCACCAACTGACTGCGTGGGAAAATCTCGAGTTCACTTGATTCCTTCGATCATGACCTCAAACCTCATATCTCGATTCCTTCCCGCCAACAGCACCACCTCGCCCTCCATATATGAAACTATCCAACAGGATGACGAGAATTCAGACGTTTCCGATGTCGAGGAACGCTCAGGGTTGGCATTGGATGAGGAAAATTTTAGAGGTCCTTATCAAGACTATGAGTTAGAAGAAGCGTTAGCAACGGTCTCGGAGACACGGTCAACCACTCAGAACACCCTGTTTCTCCAACGGGGTCCCCGCAAAACGTCTCAAGGGTTTCTTAACAAGCCCAAAACACCCCGAAAATCCAATCAACATAACTGGACACAGTCATCCCCGAGGGCTATGGAAGACGACCGAGATGATGACGACGTTCCCGCTTCTTTGCTGGTGGAAGGAGACGACGATGGTATTGGCACACACGGGCTCATTTCCCCTCCCCCAGTTCCTCCGCCAAATCGCAACATGCACAATAATGACGAACGGCTGCCGGGGCCCTCGACTCAAAAAAATCGAAACCACTGGGACCGGGCGAGAGAACAGCAACCCCTCCATCCAATCCCCAAGCGAATAGTTCCCGTCGCAACTCGAGCAGGTGACCAGCGACGTGGTCTTGCATTTGTTGACCCAAAGGAGAAGGCTATGTGGAGATGGGCAAATGTGGAGAATCTAGATAACTTTCTGGCAGATGTTTACGATTACTTCCTAGAGAACGGAATTAAATCTATCGTCCTAAGTAGAACATTACATCTTTTGTGAGTTGGGGCATTTATTTTCCATCCGATATGGCTCATCATTTTGTTGGAAAGAAAAAGCTAATAGACAAGAAGGACCCTTGCATTCGTGGTTGGATTTACAGTCTTTCTAACCAGCTGTATCGATTATCGAAGTGTGCCCCATAGTAAAACCATGTCGGAGATCATGGTTCCCCAGTGCGTACAGAAAATGTCCGCATCCTCGACCTTCCTACTATGGCTGTTTTCCAGTTTCTGGATTTCTCAAGCCGTCCGCTACGTTCTCGACCTGCGACGGCTCTGTCATATGCACGATTTCTATCATTACCTTCTAGGAATTTCAGATACAGATATTCAAACCATATCATGGCAAGAAATTGTGAGTCGATTAATGGCACTGCGGGATTCGAATCCCTCAACGGCGGGAGCTGTGTCTGCGAAACATAGGAAATTTTTAGGCAGTCAATCAAAACAACGGATGGATGCTCATGATATTGCCAATCGTTTGATGAGAAAAGACAATTACCTTATCGCCCTTTTCAACAAAGATATCTTGGACCTGACACTTCCGATTCCATTCTTGAGAAACCGACAGCTTTTCTCAAAGACTCTAGAATGGAGCCTGCACTTGTGTATTTTAGATTATGTGTTCAACAAACAAGGTCAGGTCCGGACACTATTTCTCAAAGACACTCATCGAAAGGCTTTGAGCGACGGGTTGAAACGACGATTTGTCATAATCGGAATTATGAATATATTTATTGCCCCGTTTTCCCTTATCTATTGTATAATGCATTATTTCTTCCGCTATTTCAACGAATATCAAAAGAACCCTTCTCAGATTGGCTCACGCCAGTATACGCCATTGGCAGAATGGAAATTTCGTGAATTCAATGAGCTGCAGCATTTATTTCAGCGTCGAATTAACATGTCATATCCGTTTGCCAGCAGATATATCGACCAGTTTCCGAAGGACAAGACAGCTCAATTAGGACGCTTCGTAGGCTTTATTGCGGGTGCACTAGCATCAGTTCTTGCCCTTGCTTCAGTCGTCGACCCGGAGCTTTTCCTTGGTTTCGAAATAACTCACGATCGAACTGTACTTTTCTACCTTGGTGTATTCGGAACAGTGTGGGCAGTTGCGCGAGGGATTGTACCTGAAGAGACCTTGGTCTTTGATCCCGAATATGCCCTTCGGGAAGTGATAGACTTTACCCACTATCAGCCAGCTCATTGGCAGGGGAAGCTACATAGCGACGAAGTTAAAACCGAGTTCGCTATGCTATACCAGATGAAGGTGGTAATATTTCTCGAAGAACTCCTAAGCATGGTATTTATACCATTCGTATTATGGTTTAGCCTTCCAAAGTGCAGCGACCGCCTCATCGACTTTTTCCGCGAATTCACTGTACATGTGGACGGACTTGGTTATGTATGTTCATTTGCTGTTTTCGACTTTAAAAAGGGCACCAATATCATCCCCCAAAATCAAGATGCCCAGCCCGGGGGAAACAATGATGCGGGCCAACCAGATCTTCGAAATGATTATTTCTCAACCAAGGACGGGAAGATGTTGGCGTCATACTATGGCTTTTTGGATAACTATGCCAACAACCCGCGACCAGGTGCTCCATACGTCCACTCTCCAAATAGACACCGTTTCCACCCTCCACCCGCATTTCCCGGACTTGCATCGCCCGTTCTAGTAGCAGAAGCAAATTACATTGGAACTGGCCGTCAGCACCGATGGGATCACCCACAACAACGTTCGGTCACCCGACCAACCTCAATGGGCGGCCACTTTGGCGGACACTCCATAATACCACGAACGCCCCGCTTCGGCGCCACAGCCGGCGTACATTACTCTCCCCCAACTTCAGTTCTCCTGGATCTGCATCACCAACCATCCACCACGGGCTTCCGCTCCATCAACCGAAACATTACCCAGTCCCGGTACCGCCCGTCACGCCACGCTCATCTCATGACCGATGCAATTCGAGATGAAGATGAACCACCGATGTCAGACCATGGCCATCCGGGGCTTAATAGACATGCTTCGCAAGTGACTACGGGATCTAGTGGCGCTGGTGCAGACGATAGCCGTATGGAGGAGTCTTGGAGGATGAATCTCGCTGATGAAGAGGGGCCCACGGATGAAGAAACGGAGAATGTCCAAGATGTCGTCAGGGGCGCGGGAGTGTTAGGTTTAATACACCAGTTCCAGAAGGTCAGCAATGACGGCCGTGGTGGCGCGGGAGTGGCCATTTGAGTGAAACTGAGTTCCGTCTTCAATTTTTGGCCTCCAGATTCAAGAAACGGTGGAATGTTTGCCGAAGCCAATCCACTAAACCAATATACCCCAACCTCCTGGACTACCAAACTTCTCTTTTCCTTCTCGTCCCTTTTCTTTTCTTTTTTTTTATTTTTTTTTTATTTATTTATTTATTTTTTGAAATCCTAATGTCACACATCTACTAGAACCATCCCCGCGGCGATTGCATTTACCCCTTTCCAGTTACTGATGTCAGTTTTATTTTGACTTTTTGTATGAACTTCAACCATACATACATGGAGATGTCGGTAGTGCCAGGAGTTATAGGAGTAAAGGGAGAGGGCTGTGGTTGTATTTTGTCATAGGAAGATTTATACCTCCAATATACTGAGTGTAGCTATGCGCAGTAACGTATCCATGGATGTCCAGGTCTGGGTTGAATGCTGTGGCTAAGGTATCTTGCCTTCAGCGAATCGATCTGATTTCTTTTATCCAGAGCTCTGATGTTTCCTAACCACCAACTGGAGTTCTGTGGATATAAATATGAAGCTAACCTTGAACTGGAAAATGCCAATACTATTCAGGAGTTGGGAATCAAATAACTAAACCTAGGCAGTTTTAACGTTTCTAGGTAATTGAAAGTGCCTAGGCGCGCCTGTGGGTAATATCATAAATGAGCATTCTCATCCCCTTCGTATTACCATTTAATTATTTAATGAATCTATACTCCGTATTGTAGATTTTTTATTTTTTATTTTTTATTTTTTATTTTTTCTTCTGCTGTCTCCAGCTTCGCCCCTTTTTGGTTGGATTGTTCCCGCCTCTTCGCCCTTGCTGCGTCTGTATAGATGACACTAACGGGGGCTATTAACTCAGCTTGCTCGTGCACAAACCTCCATCTCCTCCCTTCCATACCTACCTAACCTCCCAACCTCAAGCCTCAAGCTCAAGCTGTTCTCGAACATCGTCTCCTATTTCGCGGCGTCATACTGAATGCTGCACCTGTGTGCAATGGGCTGACCTTGATAACTTGGCCAACTCCCATCGCTGTTTTGCGTTGTTCAGCAACGTCGACCGTGCAACCAATTCGTCTGGTGAAGGGCTCCCTAAATGGTCGGAGTTCCATGACAAGCAAATAACCACGCTGCATATCCGCCTTTCATGTTCCCTTGTTCTTCTTAATTAGTATCTAAACTGGGTCACTTACTTTCTTTTCATTATGCTTCGTCTCCGCCGATACAGAGTCTTTGTGGTCTTCGCCATCATAAGCGTTGTCGTTTTTATTCATTTCTCCCGGGTCCGATATTGGACTTCAACCCTACCGCTCTCTAACAAATCCGGGCAGCAGAAGATACCTCCTCCACCTCCAGCGGCTTCTCCCGCCAAATCCCCCCCGCTCATCCATACAAAAACAGCAGATAATGGTGCTGGCGCTCATGGCTTCGCCCCAGAATCTACTACAACAACAGTCGGCAGCCGGATACCTGTGCCAGCAGCTACTCCGCTATCCAATCTGCAACCAGGAGATAAGACATCCGTTTCTAATTCTCGGCAGACAGAGTCACCGAAATTAAATTCGCAGAAAACACGCCCTTCTCCATTCGAGGAGGATGAGGTTGGACACCAAGGTGAGGGGATGTTAGATGTTGGTGGCTTCAACAGGGGTAATGATAGATGGGAGAAGCAACCTGAACATTTTCCCGTTGCTCCTGAGGACATCATCAAGCTACCTCAGGATCCAAAAAGGCTCCCCAAGGTTCAATTCGAATTTACCAATGAGTCTCAAGTTGCCAAAAGGGATCGCGAGTTGAAACTGGCTGCGGTTAAAGAGTCGTTCAACCATTCATGGTCAAGTTATAGAGCATTGGCCTGGGGCCACGATGAGCTGCGTCCTGTTTATGGTGGATATCGTGATCCGTTTTCGGGATGGGGCGCTACTTTGGTAGATGCATTGGATACTCTCTGGATTATGGACATGAAGGAGGAGTTTGATGAGGCCGTGGAAGCTGTAAAGAAAATTGATTTCGCTACAAGCACAAGGGAAGATATCCCTCTGTTCGAAACGGTGATTCGTTACCTAGGTGGCCTCCTTGGTGCTTATGATATCTCTGGAGGGAAGTACCAGGTGCTGGTCGATAAGGCAATTGAGCTTGCAGAGATCCTGATGGGAGCTTTTGATACTCCTAATCGAATGCCCGTTACTTACTATTACTGGACACCGTAAGTTGGTCATGCGTTTGACTTCTACGCAAATTCGAACCTTTATCAGTCATCAAGCTAACTTGATATCCAGGGAATATGCGTCGCAACCACACCGTGCCAGTACTAGAGCTGTACTCGCGGAAATTGCCTCGTTATCGCTTGAATTCACCCGATTGGCACAGATCACCGGGGAAGCTAAATACTACGATGCCATCGCACGAATCACCAACGAACTCGAAAAGTTCCAAGAGAAGACAAAGCTACCAGGGCTATGGCCAACACTTATAGATGCCTCTGGCTGTAAAAAGATTTCTAGACTTACACAGCAACCTGATGAATTACCCGTCGATACAGGACCTCCCGTACTCCCCAAAGTGAGCTTGCCGGAGAGGCAAATCCAGAAGAGGGAAGAGATAGATCCTCTGTTTATTGATGCACAGCCTGCCGACTATAACGTAAAGCCTGGTTCGCATCCTCTGCCGAACGCCGTCTCCAAGTCCAGCTCGGGTGATGACTCGTCTCAGGGGAAGCCCGATTCCCAGAGTAAAAATGATTGCGAACCCCAAGATCTCACATCCTCTCCCAATTCGCTTGAACAGATATTTACACTGGGTGGTCTTGCGGACTCCGCCTATGAATACTTACCCAAAGAATATGCCCTGTTGGGTGGTGCCAGCAATCAGTATCGCACCATGTACCAAAAGTCCATGGATACGATCAGGAAATATCTTCTGTTCACGCCCATGGTGCCAGACAAGCGGGATATTAGATTTGTCGCTTCTGCGTCGTCTGAGGAGCCTCCAGCTGAAAAGAGTGATTTTAAGTATAAGTACGAAGGGAGTCATTTGGCATGTTTTACAGGTGGCATGTTTGCTCTTGGCGCAAAACTCTTCGGGATCCAAAGTGACATTGAGATTGCCTCTAAACTGACCGATAGTTGCGTTTGGGCATATGAGTCTACCACCACAGGCGTCATGCCGGAAAGCTTCGAGATGGTAGCCTGTGAATCCCTAGAACCCTGTGAATGGAACCAAACAAGATATTACGATGTGCTGGATCCGTTCGAAGCGTACCGAAGAGCTCAACATGAGAAATACGTTGCGCATAAAGCACAACTCATTGTTGATACAAGCTCCAACAGCACTGGCGCTGAACCCGAACCGCAAATCGCGCAGCCTGCTCCACAACCCGCCGATATGAAGAGGGTCGACGCGGACAAACTTGCCAAACGACAAGTTCCTGGTCCAGCACCGACTGCAGCCCCCAGCTTGCGTCCCAGACCAGCTGCAACGCTTTTGGAGGTACCGGAGGAACCCAAATTTCTCTCTCATAAGGAGTTCGCTGAGGAGGTCATCAAGGAGGAACGGCTTCCTCCCGGTTTCACCAGCATCTCGTCTCGGAAGTACATTCTTCGCCCGGAAGCAATCGAGTCTGTGTTCATCATGTACCGCGTTACGGGAGATAACTCTTGGAGAGAGAAAGGTTGGAAGATGTTTCAGGCCATTAAAAGCGCGACGAGAACGGAGCTTGCGAATTCTGCTATCAAGGATGTCACGAGCAAGGCGCCCATGTTCATGAATGAAATGGAGTCGTTCTGGTTTTCGGAGACGCTCAAGTATAGTTACTTGCTGTTTAGTAATCCGGCGCTTGTTAGTTTGGATGAATATGTGCTGTTAGTTGATCAATCCCCTTTTTAGTACCATTCCTGATGATACTCTTGGGCTATTCTGAACTAACATGTTATTTTTCCTTCTCGCAGCAACACTGAAGCACATCCATTGAAACGTCCATTACCACAACAACATTAAGTTATCCGAGTTCTACATTTCAGTTTTGGATTCGCAAATACGGTTGCAACGCAGGCTCTGGTTACTGATATCCCTTTTCTTGGAGTCCAATGTACAAATATATATCTATTCCGCACGTGTTTTGAATCCTGTCTTCCCTGGACAGTGCGAACTTTTAACTTGCTCATCATGCCATTTTATTTTTCCTAACCGACTTGTAATTTCCCTTTTCTCTCTTGTGTTACAGGTCTGTTAGATAATACTGTTCATTATTTCATTTTTTTTCTGATGTCATTGGATTCGCGCATTCTCATTTTCTGGTTAGGATGTTTTCTTCCTTTAAAAATTATGATTGAGGGAGCACCGCAAGCTGTTCAGAGATACGATATCGGAGATACATACGACATGTTTAAAGCATGCAACAACAATATCGCATTTCTTCTTAACAGATAGCCATGTATGTTTGTAATTATCCCAAGGATTCTTGTCCAACAATTTACACGTGTAGATACCCACTAGGTTCGCAGCTATTCCCAGCTCTGTCATTGTCGATAACTTACACCACAGCGTCTTTTGTTGTCTTTTCCTGCCTCAATCTGCCTTGCTGCAGTATGGTATCACCGAAACCAAATACGAGTCCATACCACCTCTCCGTGTATTTGGGTCGCATTGTGGCTGTGGTTAAGCAACATCAGTACCGTACAAATGGTATCAGTACCGTCACGGAGTTTTCCCTTTATCAACCAAAAACCTTCGTTGACCTTCCTTTCCCGCCCTGCTTCTTCTCCTCCTCGCCCCGAGAACCTTCAAACTCCTCCGAAAATCAACCTCCCAACAACCCACATATTCAGTCACTCCTTTCCCTTACACATTTATTCGTTTTTGTTTTCGTCACTGCTTTCTTCAAAAGATATATATGCTTTTCTCCACATTTTAATCCAGTCCACCTCTGTGCAAGCAAACGAACATGAACACGTCTTGAGTGAGAGGGGTTGTGCAAGAAAGACAATCATCAATATTATACACGGAGGAAACTGTATATATGTTATATGGATAAGGAATCAGGGAGCAATGACAGGGCCTAAGGATGGAACTCGAAACGTCATACAACACCTCGGAGGATGAGAAGCTGTTTTGGGACGGTGAGTTTCAGCGCAAGCTACTTGTCTTCTGCTTTTGTGCTTTTGTGACATGACATGCGGGACACGGTGAGGGGTATTGTCAGGTACCCCCCGGGCCGCAATCGGATATATATGCCCTGGTTATTGTAGTTCCTTGCTGGTGGCTAGTTGAATCTTCATTGTCTCGGCTTCCTTTGTTTGGAGCACCTGTCTGACCGGGGGATTGAGTTGCAGGGTCACATATTTTTAACTGTTCTAAAGTTAAGCTAACTTGTGAAAACTTTCGTTTCTATACAATGTAGGATTCGAAGCAATTTTCCATATGCCATGCGACTCGCACGCTGAGATTGATAATGTACTCCGGGCTTATTTGCAGTTGACAACTCAGCATAAAGGTAGGTGTGTATGAATGGGCTTGTGCGGTATATTTCCTACGAGGACGGATGGGTGGGATTGGTGGAAGAATTGCTCTCATATTTTTACGATGAATGCTAGATTCGCGGTTTAATACGTTCTAACGTTCGCTCGAGCAGATACTCTATTTTACTCCGAAGATAAAATCTCCCAGTGTTCAGAGAGGCTCATTGCCTCGGAGCTCTTCATTGCCAATGCGGACTATATCCGAAGGCAGATGGTATATTGTGTACTTCAGGTACAGGATGGATATACGTCTCTTTAAAACCTTCATTCTCCCTTCCCGAGATAGGCATCGATGTGACTAATGGGATATTTATTGCCTTTGAATTTTAGGATGATGCGCCTGACGTTCTTTACGTGACCGCCTCTTTTCTTCTCTTTGACGGTCGGCAGAATGAGCATACGTTCGAAATGATGAATATGGAGGGCGCGTTTGTGCGTTTGCTAGAGCTCATACAGTCTTCGGAGTTGCTTGACGGTGACGGTGGAGCTGGACTACACCAGCTGTTAATGAACTTGATTTATGAAATGTGCAGGATTCAGAGGATTAAAATCGAGGATCTAGGTGAGCGGGTCACTACGTGCTGCTTTGACTCAACGCTGGAATGGAACCAGGGCTGCTCTCCAGATGACCTCCTTAAGGTGGCGGCCTCTGGAGCGCTTCTGGATATTTCCTGCCTCTCTCTCTTCCATCCTCGTTATACGGGGATAGCTTATTAAGTTGCAGTGTGTCTGATTTTTGAAATAGTACTTGTGGATGACGATTTTATAAAGCACTTATATGAAATTATCGAAAAGCTCTCGGACGATGCCCACGATCCCTACCACTATTCCGTGATTAGAGTGCTAGTAGGCTTATTTCCCCAGATCAACTTTTATGAGGCTAATTAGAGTACTGACAACTCCTCTTTGTAGTTGGTTCTCAATGAGCAGTTTATGGTCTCAGCGCATGACCCTTTACCTGAACGATCATCGTCTGTCCCACTCACTAATAAAGTTATCAAAATCCTCTCTACGTGCGGTTCCGCCTATAAAACTTTTGGAGAAAATATTATTCTCCTTCTTAATCGCGAAAGTATGTATAACAGAGCCCTTTGTTTTCATACCCAAATCAATTGTAAAAGTTTAACTTGTACATAGGCGAAACTTCCCTTCAGTTACTGACACTGAAGCTCCTTTACCTTCTTTTTACCACCCCACCCACTTATGAATATTTCTACACGAATGACCTTCGAGTCCTAGTTGATATCTTAATTCGTAACCTTTTAGACCTTCCGGAAGAAGCTGCTGCACTTCGTCATACATACCTTCGCGTTCTCTATCCGTTGTTGGCTCACACCCAACTCAGATATCCGCCACATTATAAGCGAGAGGAGCTGAAAAAACTTTTAGGGATTCTAGTCAGGGGCCAATTCTCTACTGATTCGGAGGAAACTGAGAGGATCCTCCATTTTGATGACGTTGACGAGACGACAAAGCGATTGGTGTTGCGATGTGGGCAGGTGGAATGGCTTAACGATCCCGACGAATCGAGACAACGTCAGCCGCAAGATACTACTGACCCTAGCATGGGGGGAAGCGTGGATGAAAGAAGCACACCTAATACAACTCCTTCCGCTTCTCCAGAGCCAAACTCTCCTCATGTACTAATCAAGCGTCGTTCCTCTCAAATAATATCCAATGTTTATCATAAGCGACCGGAAAACGTAGGCATGAACTTAGAGACAGCTCGTTCCTCGTCAGCCAGTGTTGTAGAGGTTGCTGCCTATAAAGAAAAACCCGGTGTCAAAGTTCCCAGCCGAAAGGACGCCTTACAACGTCCGCCTGCGCCTCCACCCCCGAAACAGAAACCAGAACCCCCTAAAGCTAGACGCTGGCGCGGACGTTGTGGACAGCGGGAAGAAGACGAGTCTACAGGACGAAGTGCTGGGAGTGGAGATTTCTGTAGTTCAGGACAGATTCCCATGGATGAGAAGAGACCAGCACCCGACCGCAAGGCATCCGGATCTGCGCCACCCGCAACCACACCTACAGATTCTACATGTACATTTACGGATCTATCGCCAACCCAAACTGCCACACCTGAGTGCACCGTTCCAACAATGACCGTCCCCAAGCCGCCGGTGCGGCATCATTCTCCCAGCTCTACTCCCCCCGCCGTTCCGCCACCCCGCAGATCCTCCCATTCTGTCCCTCCACTTTGCCAGGTAGATAACCTTTCCATTCATCATCGCCGCCGCCAACCCCCTCCACCACCACTCCACCATCCACACGGCCACTCACGTAGTCACCGCTCGCAGTCGCCACCTCCGAAGCAACCCAGGTCCTCCCCGGCAAGCACACCAGGAGCGACCTTGAACGATCAGACCACTCCGCAAAAGCCTGAACCACCAAAGACACGTCGATGGCGAGGCAAAAAGACGCAGCAAACATTTGATGGTAAAACGTCTGAAGAATCCGCTGCTAGTGGAATTGCAATCGCTTCTAATATTAATAATATTAATAATGGTCATAATAAAAATAGCAGCATTTGCTGCGAACATCAGGGGGCTGTGGTGGTCTCCTTGCTTGGAGCCACGACTGCCTGTAATCAAAATAACATGGATACGGAGCGTACTCATGGGTTAGAGGATGGGATGGCTGAGATGAAAATGAGTGAGGGTGGATAAAGGAGTTTTGGGCTGTGTTTCCTTTTACATTGTTTGTATGGATTTTGGCTGCATGCAATACATGGGATGATTTCCTCGCTCATTCGTCGTGCTGTGGTTTTACTGAAGCCTCCTTTCTCTCTCTCAACGTGTCACCAGGAGTAAACGGACAAGGCTGTTTTGCTCCTGTTCTCTGTACATATGGATGATTATTATTAATATTACACTTTCTATTGCTGTAGTTTGCTGAGCTGTCTCGATTTTGCAAATTCATATGGACTAGATTAGTTAATGCGTGACGGCGTGACTGAAAGAGAGATTGGTGGCAGATGTTGCAGCGAAGGATTGCGATGTTGAACGACAATGATGCTGTTGTACGTAACTATACTTTAAGCAGAGCCGTTGCTACCATCTTGTTTGTTATCTGCAGAATCGCCATGTCCTTGGCCCTGGTTCTGTGCCTGTCTCCGTTTCACAAATCGCCACGGATTGAATGTATGCGGGTCCTCGAAGACGCCGGTATCGTAGCAGGCAGGGAGGGAGAGAATGGAGACCATTGATCCCTTTGGGAGGGAGACGCTAGCGGTTGACGCGCTTCGACTATTCCCATTTTCAATTGGGACAACGGGAGATTTATTAGATTAGAGAGTGCAGCTTTTGACCAGCCATCTGTCTTTACAACTTTTTTCATATCTTGAGATTCCACATGCGCCGTGCCAGCAGTGTCAGCAGGTAATGATGGGATGGTATAACATTCCCTAGGAAGCACAGCTTCTATCTCTTCCCGGAGAAGAGCTGTCGTGTGAAATTCTTCATCGGATCACACTAAGTGATGAGTGGTGATATTTCCAAATGGAATCATTGATGTCCTTTCAAATATTCCGGTAACAAGAAGGAACAAAAAAAGACATACACAACGCGTTCCCAACAACTAAGCTGGCTAGAGCCCTGCGCAAAAATGAGCTTCATCGTCTCCCAGAGAGGGGGAGTTTCAGTCCACTCATTCCTGTTTGGAATCCGTCTCTCTACTGCAGCCCTCATTTCATCACCCAAAGGCCCCAGATAGTGTCAAGATTTGCGATTTATGTTACGTGTCAGGGGGGCGAAATCAGCCATGAATCCTTGACTCATTTACGGCTGTCATAGCTGTCGCCAGCCCAGTCAATCTGATCTATCTCACGGAATACCCCTCGTATGCTGAGGACATTATCTGGTTGAGTTACCAGCCAATGCTAAGGTGCTCATAGGCAATATAACTTCAGCACGCATTCCGATGCCTGGAATGAGGCACGGCTGTCCCTTTTTCAGGTGCTTTATTTCACAAATTATGAGATACATTAGTTATTGAATATTGGATATTATATCTATTCTGGTACCTTTTTGAATATATAATAAAAAAAGGGAGGTTAAATTGGAGAGGAGCAATATGCATGAAATAAACTATAGTTATACAATACTCACAGTCTCATAAGCATCCCTGAACAGGCCCTCGCAATCCGTAAAATATGCCAGACGAGTTGTGAGACTGAATCGCCCTTTCAAACCTGGGTATCTCATGGCTGAAAACCAGCAGTAGATCGAGAAGACCACAATACCAACCGTATTCATCCAATATGCTTTCTGCAAGACACTCAGGCTCTGAAAGAAGTTTTCTGCGAGTGGCCATTTCGTAGTTGTCAGATCCAGTAGCAACGAGGCCATGATATACGTAGTTATCTGGGTTGCAGAACCTTTTCCTGTTTCCCTGTGAGAGAGATGGATGGGATGTTATAATAAAAGACGACAGACAACAAGAAGGTTTCCTCCTGTGTATAAAAGCCCCTTTCATGTTAAACATCGGCAGAACTAATCTTGCAAGGTGGAAATGTTGGAGAACATGTAAGCCGGCAGGCATGTTAGGCGGCTGAAGTTACTTCTCTTGATTCAGTCGGAGAGAGAGTTATTGATGTTTAAACTGATCGACGAGGGCCACATCCTTAACTAATACTGAAAAGATCAACCCTTTAATCTAGCAAGCTTTCCAGGATACTGTGCAACAAACCAAACTCAGGGAGATAAGGAATTTAATGGAAACAATATCTTAGACAGACAATTTCTTGCCTTCACTTCATAATTATTTAGGTAGACTTTCTGCCTAGAACTGTCGCCTTGAACATTCAGGAAACGGCAAGAAACCTTGGAAGATAGCGGGTAATACAAGTTTCTCCGGCGAAAAGGTTCACAGTATTCGGGTAGTCCGAATGTGAAGTCCATGGATCGATTCATGGATGTTTTTGGGGGTGGGAAATCAGTTCCTCATCTCCGCAGGCTTGTCGTACCGACTAACGTAAACGAGTCTATCACAACGTTCCAAGGTTGAGCCCATGAAGTTCCGTTGCTGCTGCTGCTGCTGCTGCCGCTATGTTAGTAGAGAAGCCAGCAGGAAGCTCAATTGAGTAACAGATAGATGAACTCAGCCTCTGTATTGGCAGTTCTTGATGCGAAGAATCTACCACCCGCCAGGAATCATCACACGGGGAAGAACCTCGAGATACGGGCTGGGAGTCAGTTAGCTTTTGCGATAGACACATAAAAGGTTAAATAAAGAAGCGATGGAACCTAACCTGAGAGCCAACCATGCCGAGGCATAAAACCACCAGTGGTTGAAAGGTCACATTAAAATCATGTGAATAGAACAATTTATATTGTGGGGAAATTACAAAAAAAGAATTATATATAGCCCATGGTTCTACCTAGGTGTTCGGCAAATGACGTTCACTTGTTCTACTTGGTTAAATATCAGTATATCCCACATAAACATGGACAGGAACCCCATTGTGCTGCTGTAACTATAGCATAGTGTTGGTCTCTCTCACGATCCATCATTTATCGTGTCCCCACACATAGCATGAAAAAAAGACAAAGACATATAAAATAATCACAGGGGATCCAAACCAGTATGACTAAACATCCGATGTAAAAGAAGCGGGAAAAAACAATAGCTATGTTAAAAATAAATAAAAAATACCACAGAGAGAGATCATGCTAAAAACTTCATCACAGAATTCCCCAGAACTTTTCCGTCCCAAACGAATACTCATTATCCTTCTTCCAAGGATCATCGAAGGCGGAAAACAAAATCAAACCCGTCTCATCATCATTCCCAAAAGCATTCACCAAACTTTGGACCGCCTTCCGCTGGTTCTCACTGGACGGGACGGCCTTCCCATTTGCCTTTCCGGCCTTAGGCCAGCCCGATTCGGTAATAATGGTCTTCTTATTCCCTCCAGCTGCAATTGAAACAAGCTTTGCTTGATTCTTAACAAACTCTCCCGCAGCAGATGCGTCAGTATTAGGATCGAAGAAGGCATGGCAGTTAGCAGCACAGTAATCGGACACCCAGCAGAGTTCTGGGTTGTTGATGAGCGCTACGAAAGTGTCGACGGTGACAACGGGACCCGTATAGCCTGCCTGGCGCAGGGTCGAGCGGGCCTTGTCGACAGCCTGGACAACAGAGGCCACAGAGGCCTTGCCACCGTTAACGAGTTCGTTGCCGATAGAAACAGTGACGATTGATGACCAAGAGGACTTGGCGCCATCAATGAGCGTTTCCAAATCTTTGTCGAGATTGTTGATGTCGAAGACACCAGCAAAGACTTTCTTGTTGTGTTTCTTGGCGGCAGACATGATTTTGGGGACTTGCTCGCAGTCGACCCCATAGAAGCGGATAACGTTATAACTACTCATTTTAGAGATGTCCTGGTCGACTTCTTCCTCAGATTTACACCCGCCGTCACCTCGATAAGGGGAGTAACACATCCCCAGGCCGTTTTTGAGAGGGTGATTTGAGGGTGGCTGTGCCGTTTTGTAGGTATCTTGCGACGACGAGGGTATTTTGTTAGCAGTGGCCTTTGATGGCTGTGGTTGTGGTGAATTTTTAGAAGCTGAGTACACGCTAGGAGAATCATTTGCATTGGCAGCGCATGGTTCCTCATCTTTCAAATCAACAGCAGCAAGATACGGTACCGAGGGGTCTGAATCTGGGTCAGGAAGTTGGCTTTTCTCGTTGAAATCGAGGGCTGAATTAAGACTCGATTGGGCTGTCTCCTGTGGAACTCCGTATGTGGTTGATACCATAGTTATGGTTTGGGTACTGAATGGTTTCCCATCCCGGTCCACCCAGACGAGAACCTTAGGCACGTTGACGGTAGCATAGTTCGTCGGCGCCGCACGCCTTTCATTTTGAACTCGGTGTGCTACCCCGAACGATATGAGCTTCCAATAGCATACAAACGATTGACAATGGCAAGGGGAACTGCAATCAAGAGAACTTACGTTGCGGGCGGGCAGACGTCGCGCCCAGCAAAGAGAGCGTAGCAATAGTGAAGATACCAGTCTTCATTTTTGTAAAGCACTTTTGTGCGAAATATTCAGTCAATGGATAGTAATTTTCTTGATATCGTAGAGAAGGATGCTGCAAGGTCTTTGTTAGTGAAGAACGGGCCAATCTCTTCGGCGGAAGCAAGCAGGCAAATATAAAAGAATAGAATCGGTTTCGCATTTCCCATCCCGCAGTTTGAACCGGCAGGCTCATGCACGAGACGTAAAACCGAAAAGCCGTCTCAAATGAGAAGAGAAATCCGGGCACCACTATAAGCTAAAAATGGGGTATTCCGGAAGAGAAAGAAGAGTTCTCACCAAAAAGTGTTAAGTCTGAGCACTCGGGTTCGTATAGTATATTCTCAAAGCCAACTGCCCAAGGAGTGACGCAGGTACGTAAACCAGGAGCTACCTGTCTGCCATAGGCTTAGCCTCTATAATAGGATATAAAGGGTCCAAAACAATCCCAGTATCTCACCCTGCAGTACGAAACAACTGCGGGAAGACTCGGAAACACCGGCGGTATAAGGACGGCTTTATTCTGTTGCGGTGCTGCGCGCACAAGAGGTGTGTTGAGTGATGTTAAAGGGGTTGACAATGTCACAGCCAAATACAGAAAGAAGATGGCTTTTAACAGGGATACAGAAGAGGAGATTGTATCAAGATATTTCAGGCAGGCAGAACATGTATATAGATGTAAAAAGAAATTTGTCGCTGTGACAAAATGTGAAGTCAAAAAGTCTTTCCAAAGGAGAGAAGCAGCTATAAAGATATAATTGACTTCAGTTATCTCAAGAACCAGCTGAGCAACAAGTTATTAGGCAGGTCCACAACGGGACGAGTCAACAGGAAGAATGATAGTAGCTGTCAAAAAAGAAATGAGTGTGGAATAAGTTGGGTTCACACAAAAGGGAATTACCAACAGCCAAACGAGAATGGCACGAAGAAATAAAAAGAGTGAGTAGGAGACGTTGGGTCCTTGACTAGACAGGTGAGCAACGAACAGTTACACCAGAAGAGCAGTGGGAAGTCCTGACACTTTCAGAACTGTCTCTCACCAACAAAGGAATGAATGAATTGAAATATAAGGACCGGCGATGACAGCGTACTAAACAGAGAGATCAGGTATGAACAAGGAGCAGAAACAAAACCGACTAGGATAGGAAATTGGTTATCTTTTTAACATTTTTTCAATAATATAGAGCAGGCATAAATATACTCCATAAAATAAAAATCAAAACTTAGATAATTAAACTTAAAATTGGACCAAGCATGAGAAGGCTAACCCCCGGCGGCAAGGTCGTGGGCCGTGTGTTTGAAGGAAAAGAGTAGCAGTAGCCTATGGGAACCAAAGAAAGCATACAGACGAGAAATTAAAAGCATAGGTACGTGTCAGCAAGATAAAGCAGAAAAGATTAGTAGAATTAGAAAAGATATAGAAATGCCTCGTTTAAATTTGGACAATCTGGATTCAGTTATGATTGCATCATTTTTTCTTTTCTTTTTCCTTGGTTAATTTGATGGGCTCATCCGGTAGACTTGGAACTGCATCTGTCAACGCCGGAATGTTGTCTTCTGTCTTCGGTTGTCAGAATTATTATTGTTGTTGAAGAGTCGAATGAGCATCGCCGTCTCCGTTTCCCGCTTTTCTTTTCTCGATATGCTGTAGATATACTGTCCAAATGCCCAGCGGCAAACATGACTCGTCCGGTCAGTCAGCCAGCCAACCAACCATAACCATTTCTAGCACTCTTGGTCCGCGGGCTAACCATGCGGCTCGCTGGAGCATAGCGGCAAGCAGTCCGTTTCTCTCTCCGCAACACATGGCGTTCGAAAACCACTGTATCAGAATTAGCCTGGAGCTAGACCAGCGAGGAGGAGCCCAGCGCATTATCTGATCCACTTGACGGGGTTGAAAATACCTCAAACGTGGCTTGGCCTTTTGGCTTTTCTAGGTCCCTTAGTTACCGCTTCCTGTATGTTTCCTGTGCCCTGATTTTCACAATTTTTGATGGAGTAGGGCCCCCAGAGAGCCCACATGTATCACGCCCGGAGAACCAGAAAACTGTAGAGCATTACCAAGAGCCCGATCCAGTCCTGCGCTGAGGGTAAGAGATGTTCGTTCATCCACACCAACTTGAAATATGATTGGATAGCACATCGGCACATTGCTTTGCAGAAGAAATCGATTTCATGCATCAATTACAAAGTGATCTGGATTGAGTTTACGATGATATGGCAGTTCGAAAATTAATCGGGTCTTGAAACGGCAATGCAGCAGGCTGTTTCTCTCTCTATTTTTCCCATCGGGACATCACTTGTAAGTTAAAAGTCTGGAGTCAACACAAGTGGATAACGGGTCGACCGTCATGTCCAGCCAGCCGCTGATGCAGTTGGGGTATTTTCGTTTCTTTGACGTTGATGAGAGGTTTTGCGTTCAGCCATCGTTGTTTCGGGAGCTTATCAGATAGTGGAGGGGATAGGAAGCAAGGATTAATCCAGATAACAAAAGAAGTGAGCCTGTGCAGTGTGAGTTGGAGCACATGAAGGGGCGATTATGGGGATCAAGACTAGGGAGGAGGAGGCCCACAGATGTGTCCAGTCTGTGATGGGAACAACAGTGGATGTTGTTGTAGCTGTTGTTGTTGGTTTGGATGGATGGATCTCGCCTGTTCGCTGGGTTCCGCTAGTTATAGTTAATTAGTTAGTCCGATTAATCAGATCTGAGTCAAGATCGCTTTGGCCGTCCGTCCCTCCTCCACCGGCACGTGACCATAACAATGTGCACACATGCTCATTCAACTATCCGCTTCCCAACGCTCTCATTAAATTTTAAATAATTATAATGACACTCCAGCAAACAAGAAAATCCCATTGTAAATCAGGTACATACACATTAAGCAAAGACATGTCCATTTCCAACCAAACAGCCCAATCCGCCCACCAACTGCGCATATATAATTAACCGATAACAACTCATCCTTCTCGATGCATGCGCCCATACGCAGGTACTAGAGATAACTAACCCGATCCAAATCTGGTGCGACATACTCTGCACCAAGCACTCAACCTAATAGGAACACAAATCCCCTCCCTCTTGAATACCCCATTTCCCTGTTTCAGTGGTTGGCAGCCCTGGCACTCCCAAGCACCTGATTGGACATACTCATCCATATAAATTAAGGCTATTCCTTAGGTGAAAACCAATGGCTATCGTCCTATGTTTCCGTTATGGTGCCAACTCACTCACTCACCAGTGTCGCCCGACACCGGCCTCAGATGAGATGAAACGAAATCTTGGAAGAAAAACGGGCGGAACCAAGATAGACTTGGAGTGTGCTAGCGACTGACTGGCCGCTGAGGTTGCCTCACCCTACAGGTAGCAAAGTGGGTGTAAAGAATCAGTGTAAGAAGTTAAACACACGGGGTTTTGCGCATGAATATCACAGAATCTCGAGGAAGGGGGAAGGCCCAAAAAGTAGCGAAGATAAGTTAAGCTGATCAGCAAAAACAGGGATGAAGCAGCTTTTGTACCAAGTCACAACCCCACAGCGGCGTAATGGAAAGTAGCAGGCAACGTAGAGAAAGTTGGAAGGAGAAGATGGTAGGTTAATATTACATTATTAAATAACAATAACAGCACTGAATGCAATCAAAAAAGCGCACCCCTCTCTCTTCCTTTTTGAATACAAAATAGAAAGAGTGAAGACAAAACCAAATATACACAAGAGAATGGAAGAAGAAGAAGAAGAAGAAGAAGAAAATTAATTAAAAAGTAAAGGAAGAATCCAAAAGCCCCAAGATCCCCATCAAACACCCGTCTTCAAATAAAAAAAATAAAAAATAAAGCCCACTACGAGAGAACGCAGCAACGGCATTTCATCGTCTTTGTCTTAGAACCTTCGTAATGGCATGCCGGATTATGGTGCCCGCTTTCTCGACCTCCTTCCGCGATAAGCCCGTTGTCAAACACACTTTTAGGGCTGGAGGTGCTGGAGATGCTATTTGTTTGGGAACCACGTCGTCCTCAACAGACTTCAGGCGTGTAATGAGGACGCCGTTGGCTAGGGCCTGAGTGCAAATATTGGTTAGAGGAGACCTCACAATTAAAGCACAACACACCAAAAATATAAATAAATAATAAATAGAGAAATAATAAATAATTAATAATTAATAATAAACAATAAACAAAACAAAATAAAACCTAAATTTGACACAATGCACAAAGAGAGTGAGAACATACCTCATCAACAACATCCTGCAACACCGCCTCCTGTTCCTCAATGGAAAGACTCCTGGCCGCTACAACACTGGGCTTCAACACGAGGAACATAACCGGATTCTCTGGCACCGACGAGCAGTATACATGTTCACTTCGCTGATCCACCTGCGACCACATCACTTTGATATTCTCCCGCAGCTGAGAGATAAGGTCCGGATTATTCTGCAACATAGCCAATGATTCACTGGCCGTCGTAGCCAGCAGGGCGGGCAGTGCAGCGGAGAAACAATAGGCGCTGGCAGAGATGCGCTGATGGTGAACAATCTCTTCTGAGCCAGCACAGAAGCCACCACCAGCAATAAAAGGTCCGGCTAGAGACCCGACGATCATGTCGACTTCGGTAGCGTCGACGTTTTGATGTTCTGTGATTCCGCGGCCGGTACGTCCAAGGACGCCAAAGGAGGAGGTTTCATCGAGGATTAGACGGAATTTGTAGCGCAGTTTTAGTTCGATCTGTTAAGCGATTAGTTGTTTGTTCTGGCGTTGATGGTACGGAAAAAACTAATAGAGAGAAAGGAAAGAAATAAAGACGAACAATTGCTGGCAAGTCCACCATATCCCCCCGATTCTCAAAAATTGCTTCAGTAATAATAAACCGTCTAGTCAGTGGCTTTTTCGCCTGCTCCTTCGTAATTTTGCTCAATACCCGCTCTAAATCCTGCATGTCATTATGTTCATACCAGCGAACTACGCTACGTGAAATCTGAATACCCTTCCGAATCGCATAATTTACCCCTTTATCCGCAACAATGATATCCCCGCGCTTGGAGAAGGATGGGATAACACTGGATATCGTGGAAAATGCTTGCGAGTAGACAATACAAGCTGGCACACCCAGCGAGGCGGCTATATCCGCTTCCGTACGCATGTGGACATCCTGAGTTCCGTAGAACCCGGGAGGTCCGCAGGGGCCAACGCCGTAGGTGCGGAGTGTTTGTATGGCTTTCTCCTTCAGGGTCTCATTGGCTACGAAGTTGTAGAAATTGGCACATGCGAGATTAGTCACGGTACGGCCGTTTGTGAGTTTGGATTTGGCACCTGTTGCACTGTTTGTTTTGAAATCGAAACGACGTTAGTAGAACTGGATTTCAAAAGGGTCTCACCCAAGTTTACGTTTTAACTTCAATTGCGAACAGAGGAAATATAACATACCCAGTAAGCACAACGCGCTTCTCAACCTCAGACTCATCCAGAAGTGAAGGGGGGGGAACAAGCGGCTCGGGCGTCCAGTCCTCAACCAAATCGTCGATTTCCTACAGATTCATCAATTCAGCTCCAGTTAGCAAAAGTTCATCTCTCAATTTGAACATCCCATAAAATTCCCCATCTTCACTATTTCTCCATCTCTCTCCATCCAACTCCACACAAATCCGGCCACCCGCCAGGGCCCAAAAAAAAAAAAAAAAAAAAAAAAGACGCAGAGAAGAGCTCTAAAAGGAACCACCACTCACCTCCTCCGATAAGGGCACGAAATTCGGCTTAGTCGAATACTTAGGTGCAAGCAGGTACCTCACAGCGAAGAGAAACAGGAATAACTCGACAGCAGAGCGGACGGGGTCATTCTGATACGACGACTTGACATAGCGGAGGAAGATAGCGGAGCCCGGCACGCGTTGGAATTGGTTGCTGAGTTCGTGGAGGTTCTCGAGGAAGAGGCGCTGAGTTTCGTGCAGATCCATCATGTCATGTTATTATTTTTATCGTTCGTGAAATAATTCAGGGAGGGGAGAAGAGGGGGTTTCTGAGGGGGGGTAAAGCGGCGGGCATGCGATGATGGAATTAGGCAACAAGTATTAAAACAGATAAAGGGAGGGAAGAGGCGAAGAGAGGAGGCACTGTAGGTGAGAGATGCGAAGTGAGGTTTAATTGATTGATTCGGCCTGGTAAGGGGGGTATTGAGAGTATAAATAGGTCTGTGGTGACGAAGGTTTGTTGTATGTTGCTGGAAGTTGTTGATTTGGAGTTGCTCCTCCTGTTTCTTTGTTCCAGTATCGACTGCTGGCGATGGAGCCTTTTTTGCCAGGTAGAGTCAGTCCCAACCAAAATTTGTAAGGAAAATTCACGTGATTTAAATGTTTCGGAGCTGCCATCTCAGTGAAATGCCTCACTCTAACAGAGATGAAAATTGAAGAGAGATATTCCTTGTAATAAAATGGAAATAACAAGAAGCTTATTTTAATCGAAAAGTTTCTCTAACTACATCTACAACAGAATTGATATTTAGTGCAAATATTAAGATGATGCCTTTTAAAACCCTCAAATGAGAAAAGTGGAAATGTGTATCATCATTAATAGAGAGCTATGTGAAAAGAAAGCAAGAAAGAAAGAAAAGGAGAAATGAAATTAGAGAAGAAAAAAAGAGAAGGAAAAGTAAAAGAAAACACATTATAAAATGTCCCTCTTGATCAAAGTCAAGTCAAGCAAAAGTGAAGTCAGCCACCCATAGAAAAACGAAAAGAAATATTAAAAAGAAACTAGAACCCCCTACATGCGAATTCAGAAAACCCCGAGTGTGTATAGGAGCAATCGTTCTCTCTGTTATCAGTTTGTACAATACATTCGATTCGATTCGGCAGTTTCTCAAGGATCTTTGAGAGTTGTGTGTAATATAACGAAGGAAAAAAGAAAAAAAAGAGTTAGTAGAGAAAGAAAAGTAAAAGAAGAACGCCTCAAAAATGCAATCACCCCTAACAATTTCAAACATTCGTCTTTCTCGAAACCCACCCCTCTATCAACCCACCTATCCCCCACTCTCTAATAGTCTTCCCCCAAACTAAAACAACCTCACAACCTCGCATTACCGGTCTTCGTTGCATCAGTGACACCCCGTAATGCCAACCCCGTCAACTCAGAAGTAGTATCATTATTATTCAATCCAGTGGGCTGGAGCAGGTTCATCGGGATAGATGGCAATGGTGAGAGGAAGCGGCTCGCAACGATGGGCCCAACGATAAGCGCAAGGAAGATGACGAGCATAACAAAGTAGAGGATCGCGAAGCGGATGACTCTTCTCTTCCTCAATTTGGATTGTTTCATGGAGTAGATTGGTGGGCGGATTTGACGGCTGTTGTTGTTTAATATGATCAGTTAAAGGTTTGGTTCCAAGCGGGAGAAGAAGAGGGGAGTGGGAAGGAGAACATACCTAGGCCTCAACCAAAACAGCATAACGGAATGTCCCTTATCCACATACGGGATACAGAGCGGCGGCAACATGAAAAACAAAAGCACATGTCCCAAAATGAAATCCGCAGAAAACATGCCCAATTCCGTAATCTTGCACAGAAACTCTCGACCGGGCTGAGACATCGAATGCCAACCCATGCTATACCATTTGCCTGTCCACCACGCAATGTTCGACGTATCCTGTCTGAACTCTCTAGTCAAAGCAAGCGAAATGATTAACTTGTAGATAAATCGCTGGATGGCAGTAACCGCAATCATCCCGAGAAGTGCTTTAGCAAACACCCATCCTTCAAGGAAGAACATGACTTCAAAGAAGGCCATAAGCATCACGACAGCAACACCATGGGCAATAGCAGCGAGTACAGAGCCGAATTTCTTGCAGCACATGCTCAATACAGGACCCATACAGCAAGCCATCGCGAAGAGAACTGCAAGTAAGCCTGCGTTGACAGCTATGGGAGCGAAGGCAATAATTGCAAGTCGAATTATAGAGTTGGTTGGCTTTGCTTCATCTTCCTTAACTCCAGTCTGCGCATTGATGAACAGATATGGAATCAAAGTAACGACAACGAGGACAAGGGGCCCAACAATCTCACTAAAAAAGATATTCGTGAATTGTGCCCGCGGGGCATCACCAGATAACTTCTCAGACGGCGAGCCAAGGACTTTCCGCTTATAACCCGTGATCCGAGTACGAGAGAGTCGGCAAAAGGCAATCCAGGAAGACGCGTGGGATCGGGAGTTGCCCCGAGAAAGCCAGCGGAGGTAGTCGCGGTAGTCGATGAAGAAATCATTCCAGGCAAACTGATGAGGGTTGAACAAGAATGGCGAGATGCAAAGAGCAAGCAGAGAAGCCCAGAAGTAAAGCAACCATCCAGTCCAGACAGTTAGAGTTCCGAAGAGCAGCATCATCAGCAATCGGGAACCAAAGTAAATCGATGGACCAGCGAAGCGGGAGTAAAGAACACCAAATGGAATACGAGCAGTAGCAAACCCACGTCCAGTGCCGATATATCTTGCACCCCCAAATGACAGATTGTTATGCAACGAGTTCGCATATATTTGGCAAACGAACACTTCGAAAAAAGGAGACAGGGATCCAAAGTGTTTCGCAAGACGGGTGATGGCACGCCAGGATCCGCGCTCGGTAAGTTCCTGAACAACAAGCGGCAGGAAGGAGAGCAAGAAGACGATACAGATCGAAGCAGTACAGCGCTGAACCCACTCTTGGATGGGTATTGTGTCCGCGCAACCCGTTGGCAAAATAGGATCGGTGATGGGAACTCCCTTCTTAACAATACAAGGAATAGTTTCATGCTTCAAAGCGCCGAGATTAATCAAGCAAATCATGAACATCTGGACCGAAAGCATAATGAACAAATTGTTGATATGGAAACCCGGATGTGCGTAGTAGAAGGACAAGAAGCGATCGAGCGGCAATTGGGTGCCCAGGTAGTAATACTCTCGAGACAACATCTGTTCTCCCATACCAGTACCAATTTTAGTGGTAAAGTTGAGCACGGAGCCAAAGCCAAGATCACGACCTTTCCCGCATTGATAGTATTCGCAGTGTTTGATGCGACCACCACGAAGAAGCGCATTCATTCCAGCGTAGATATCCTCGTTAAGATGCAAACCCTTTTGTGCCTTGGAAACACCACCGCGAGTAGTCATGAAAACACCATTGAGGAAATCAGGATGACCATAGTGAAGCTTGCCACCTATTTGAGCCAAGGTACGGGCAAAGAGAGTACCGAAAGTCTGTTCCTTGCCTGCAGCAACGTCACCAAGCATGCCAATATTTTCCGAAAATATGTATTCACGAGCGCCAAGAATGGCCACGGGGTTGGTTTTCGACGGCGGGAGTCCAGGAACGTATGGTGAAACATTGTCAGTATTCATCTCTTCGAACTCGGCTAAAACACTGCGAATCTTGAGGCATTCCTCTAAATAGTTGTCCTGGTTAGCATCGATGAGCTGGATATATTCGCCGCGGTAGAAAATAATCGCATGGTTCTGGTTGTCAGATTTCCCATCTCCAAGAATTGGATTACCAGAGAGCTGGACTCTGAACTTGGGTCGTCGCAATCCATTTTCCATTATCTCAGAATGACCGTCGATCAGGGCAGAATACAGTCTCGGCTCCTCACCCTCGTTGGCAGGTGGCTCTTCATCCAGGTATGAAATTTGAAGATCTGGGTAAGCTCTGAGCAAGAACTCGGTGTTCTCACGTTCCTCCTTGTTGAATTTCGCATACCTTTGCATAGAAACCACAATCCTAAACTTGCGACGAGCCATCCGTTCCAGTTCCCGTTCGAGCTTTTCTGAGTTTGCACCGAACATTTGAACAACTTCAGGATTTTCTACACGATACAGAAGCTTGATGGCACGGCTGTAGTTCATAAAACCAGAAATGGTACGGTACAGGGTTTGCGAACGAAGTGAAGCCCATATACGAGTGCGAAGAGTATATTCGGGAGCCGCAGATTTGAAACCAATGCAGTAGAAAGGCAGATCATCAATCTTGCTTTTCGCAGCGTCCTTTTCATTCTTCTCCTCTCCGTTAAATTGAGATGTTTCATCTGCCAAAATCTTCGTATCCTTGACAAAGCAGTCCCATTCGTGTGGGTGGAGTTGTTTGAGGTACTCAAGCAGCGTAACACGGGAGTAAGGCTCATCCTCGCGAATGATCTCACGCAGAGATAGGAGAATCTTTTCGCTGTAGTGAGGAATGAGGACGGTAAATGTCGGCATATTGTCCACTGGCACTGGTTCGGGGATCGGAGTGGATAGCGATTGGGCAAAAAAGGAGATACGACGTTCGGCTTCGCTCTGAGTTGGGAAAAATTCGGTCTTGAAGGAATGGTCTTCTTGTGAGACAAAGAACGTAGGGGCCCGCAGTGTCCGTTTGCCTTCCTGTTCTGAGGGGACCTGGTGGTAGAGCAGTTTCTGGACATGATCGATAGCCAGCAGGTGTTCCCGATACATCGAAATAACAATTGCGTTCCAAACCTGAGATATGAGGACCTTGGGTTTATACTTGATTTCCATGTCGGTCGTAGCAAGAACTTTAGAGTAGATACGCTTGGGTAGGCGAGAGAAAATATTCCTCCAGGGCGTCCAGATAGATACACCGAGATAGAACGAGCGAGCAACAGAGAAGATGGCATTCAGAATAATGTACCACATGTACGTATCAAGGAAGAACAAACTCAGGTCGGTGAAAAACATAAGACCAAGCAGAATCTTAGGCTGTTGTTTGCAAAGAACATCTCGCGAGGCCCCAAAGAGAGCATCGCCAGCGCACTTGCTGATCCTCATTTGCGACAAGATTCGGATCGGATCACGGAAGGAGAGTGTGAGGAAGAAGTAAGACTCAGCAAGCTTAGCCCCAAAGACACAAACCCACAAGCCGTATGACATCCACATGTCATTTCCATGAAGCCTAGGATAGCTAGCAGTGAAAGTTTGGCTGGCGACATATTTGCGAGAATTTTTGGTAAGATAACTACCAAAGAGTCCACCAAGCGGCATAATGGAGAACATGAAAAATGTCAATAAGTTGAAGAAGAACGACACAATACCGAGTATGTGGGCGATTTTGTTATCCTGGTTTACCCCAAAGACATACACAGCAGGACCGACGTTGATAATGAAAATGCCGATAAGGAAGATGAGGCGTTTTGTCAAATGCTGCGCACCAGTCCAAGCTCGAGGAACGTAGGCCCATTCGCATATTGTTGCGAAGATCATGATAAAGGTAGCAACAGCACCACCAAGTCCAGAAGCAGTCCATCTCGCAGCAGCCGTGGGTTGAGTGTTTTCCCTCTGTTTGTAGTTCCTTGTATACAGAGTCGGGGAATTGAAGGCGGTGTAGAACCAGAAAGCACCAACGTGGATAACCCAAACACGATTAAAGTTAACCATCATATGGAACCATGAGCGAGTTTCCTTGTAAGTTTTGAAAAAAACCTTTTTCCAGTTGACATCTTTGAGTTTCTGGTATCGTTCAGCGGGGGGAATATCCACGATACGAGATTTGTCGTTCATCACAATCCGTTCGATTCCTTCTGGGTACCAGAAAAGCTGGTTAATATCATCGTAGCCAATGATTTTGTTATGATCACGTTCCCGCCGTACGTATTTGCCATCGAAAATTTCATATCCCTGGTCACGACAGTACTGATACAGAGGGGTGATAATTTCATTGAGGTAGGTGAATTCTTCGACAGGTTCAACGCGATTCTGACATTCAGGGGAGTGGTAGAAGTCATCGGCGCACTTGAAGATAAAGCAGAGGGCTTCAGGCATGAACCGGACTTGATTGGCTTCACCCCAGCAAAGCAAATACAAAGCGATCTGACGGGCACGCTCGTGCTGTGACATGCGGTTCATCCGTGTTTTCCAGCGGTATTCTGCAGCTTCCAGACTGTTGTCCCCTTCTAGATCAGCGAGAGTCTGTTCTTCGTTCTGAGGCCCGCCACCAGCAGCTTTTTTGGCGGCCTTGCGGGCTTTTCGGGTTTTACGACTGGCCTTGCCCAGGTTCATGTTGGCGAATCCTACCGCATCATCCAAATCCAGATGAGCGGCAAAATACCAACGACGGTAGTTTGCATTGTCACCACCGATATAATCTGCATGGAGTGACAAAAGAGCCTGGTTGGGAGTCATGCGAGAAGCGCGAGAATCAAGCAAAGTCATAAAATGGTCATACATGTTTCGCATGCTATCACGTTGGAACCCGAATTTGTTAACCAAATCCAAGAAGATGTCTTCGATCTCCTCCTTGGAGAGTGGAATTTGAGAATCGGAAGTCCAAGCGGGATATGGCTCTCGTGATCGTTGGCCTGCAGGAAGGGCGTTGCCGTAATCATACCCATAGACAGGGGTGGAAGCACCAGAAGATCTATTTACACTATAGGAGATCTGAGAAGAGGGAGGACGGTATCCACGCCCACCCATCTGACTGTCGTTGTAGCTGTTGTACCGCTCGTCACCACGGCCATAGTAGTCCATATCCGCAGCACGAGCAGTCTCTGATCTCATAGTGAAATCACTGAAAGTTTCTGAATCTTCTTCAGAATCATGACCCCTGCGACGTCCCTGCTGTGGGCCATATTGATAGCCTGCAGCCCCTTGATCGTAGTACTGATCATTGTAGTATTCGTCCTCGTAACCCTGGTGGTTATTGTCATAGTAGCCATCCTGCGGCTGGTATGAGTTGTCCCCATTACTATAAGGGAAAAGAATAAAAGAGGAAAAGGGTATATGTTAGTCCTTTGTATCCAGATATGTTGTGGAGGCAAGACTCACTACCCTCTGTTGTCATAGTACCCATCGTGCTGGGAATAGTCATTCTGGTCGTAATATCCGTCTTGGTAGTAGGCGTCCGCCTGGGGATTATGGCCATAGCCATCATCATACCCATTCCGGCCACCTTGCGGGTGGGCCGACATGGTTAAACGGACAATTCAAATTTCTCGACTGTAGGGCGGCAATAGATGCAACTTGGTCAGCCAATTTGAATTTCCAACCACGCAATCAGCTAATCGAATCCCTCCCAAGCAAGAAGAAAGCTTACGTTATAATATTATCATACCCATTAACTCTGATGTCAAAAAGCAAGGAAAATCCGTCGACAGAAAAAGCAAAAGAAAGATATTCCTGGTAGTTAACGGTCGTGGTGTACTCGCAAATCGATTGTCAAACGAAAGTAAACAAAGCCAGCGAAGCAAAGCAAACAGCAAGAGCAACGCAACGCAACACAAAGATGAGACCGCGAGGATTTCCTGCTTTTATTTCTCTTCTTCCTTCGACGGGCTATATAGGAGAGAGGTGTAGCTCGTAATTGGAAACCGGATAAGAGAGAGTTGACGGTCGAAACCGATTCGAGAGAGTGATGTGAGGAGGAAGGGGTGGGTGGTCAACACGCCAGGTAAAAGGGACAACGGTTCCAGGGGGTGGGACCTAACAAGCGATTGATGATGCAAAGAATGCAGCAACAAGATACGGGAATTGGGGGAGGGAGGAGGAGGAGGAGGAGGAGGAAGAAGGATAAACAAGAAGACGAAAGAAGAAGACGTTTGTATCCCCTTTCGATATTATTATTTGTTGTGAAACGAGTGAAGTTGTGGTTACGCAGCCAATAGTGCAGGCCTCAGACGAGGAAGGTACGGTCGCAGCAGCAACAGCAACGACAGGAGGCGGCACAGGCAAAATGATCTGCCAAGCGTGGCACTCCGGTATTAGAATGTGTCAGGGCTGCTTGGCTCTCACGACCCTCCTGGTTACCCGTTGAACGAGTGAGAAAGGTAAACAGAGAGAGAGGGAGAGAGACAAAACCGAAAGGAAGACAAAAAGAGAGTGTGGTCAAGAAACATAAAATAAAATAAAAGTTGGTGGTCGCAGCGAAGGCGAAAGGAGGAGGAGGAGAAGAGAGAGGACGCGGGAAGTGAAAAAAAAGAAACATCTGCAACAAAACTGACATACACAAGAACAACCAGACAGAACATTAATACCAAGTAAGGGATTGACAGAATCAGCCAATAATGGGCTCAGGCACGGAGGTATTATTCACAGGTATTCCCAGGTATTTCCCGAGTACGTAACTTTCAGGTAAATTAAACAGGTTATGCGGATGTTTTTCTGCCGTGGCTGGGCCCTATACAGCTGGGGTGGCTGCATGCAGCGGAACAGAACAGGGAGTAACATCTTACGCCTCCTACGCTCTCTCCGCCCCCTCCCTTGGCCTGGTGACAAGAAAATACCCCCCCCTTCCCCCAACTCCTTCATCAAGCACCACTCGAAAATAGAAGAAAGTTGCATCTCCAAACGTTACCCATATCCAAACTGTATCTCGTACCGTCTCTAGGTACCAAAGTTACCAGTAACCACTCGCTGTGTCGTACCATACCGTCAATCGTAGTGCCAACTTTAACCAAGGCGGAGACAGCAAGCCAAGCCCTGCCAGCCAATCTCTTCCCCCTTGGTCCTTAACACCATGCCTAAATCGCAATTGGGCACCTGGACAACCTGGTGAACCACCTGGGCCCACCCAAGAGGCTGCCCCTGCCCCGGCGGACAACCCCCAAGTCCGGTGCAGTCTACCGAAGTATTTTTGACCCACATACGAACCAGGGCCCAAGGGTCATGCCTAAAAGGCATTGCTCCCTTCCGAGAAGTTCCAGGAAATGTTCGTTTTGGTATTACTCCAAAAAAACAAGAAATATAATACAGACAAATGTCAAGAGAGGTACCTAATCTTGGCTTCTCTTTTTTTTTTTTCTTTTCCATTTTTTGGGCCCCCCTCGACAATCATATGCGAAGTTTTCTTGTTCCTGAATCAATAATTTATAATTTGCAGCCGATTCAGGCAACTGTTAACGGGCTTAAATGGTATCAGAAATCGAAGACCAAATTTAAAATACCCCAGACCCCTCGGCCTCCTGTTGCCCAATGCTTTACGGAATTTTATACTTCCCGTCAAATCTTATTATTATGTCCTTAAGACTCCAAACCCTTGAACTTTGAACTAATACATAGTGAGAGGCGAAGAAAGAATAATTTTAATGTTCTTGTTTCAGTTGAACAGTAGGAACCTGGGCATTCAAATCCTAACATTTCACTGACACAGCTGCATCAGACATTAACCTCCATGTAAGCTGTTAAATTACAAGATAGCTTACAATAAATACTTCGCCACCTTGGTTCTTTCGTCGACAATTCGGCTGACGTACTTCCATGGATATCAACACTGTGTAATATTTTGGAGGGTAAGAATTTACTTAGCTTAAACAAGAAATACGATTCACTTGGCTTCAAATTCAATTTAATAAGATGTTCTTTGTATTCAAGCATTGCATCTGCAACCAGCAGCTCAATTGCCCAAAAGAAAAAATATAAATATATATATATATATATAAAATAAAAAATAAAAAATAAAAAAAGGGACAGAATCAAAGAAAAAGGGGTAAGCACCATCTGCATATCTAGGATATATGCCATGGTGTCAAGGACATCCCAGCCAACGGTTCCTAGGTATCGCAAAACCTGAGCCGATTCATTTTAACGCTTGAGCACATCCGTTGGATCGTTCTGATATCAATGCTGGACAGCACTCTCTCCTGTAACCCCAGATTTTACCCCAAAAGCTCTCGGATGCCCGGAACAAGAGACAAAAATTAAAGCGAGATGAAAATATTTTAGCTTCCATCAATATATTATTATTGAAGACATGTATATTCACGCAAGGCAAGTCGCAACGTATCCCAACGTTTTCACTTGTCTCTTCTGAACTACTCAAGGCGGCCTCCCAGTCAGATGTTCTCCCGTTCTAGATCCGCAAGCAGACGCCCTGCGGATGCCTAACGCCTGAGTTCTGACGTAGCAACTCAAAAATAAAGAAAGAAAAAGAAGAAGAAAAAGCAATACTAAAGCGCAGGGCAATGTGGATGGCGCTGAGTGGTCCTTCCAGAACATCTGTAGAGTACCTGCATTGAGGCGATGCAGCGGAGTCCCCGCCTGTTCATTCTACTCGTGGGGCTGGGACTGTGGTGGGATGAGACTGAAGATCGCGGGATAATTGTATTTGAGTGTGCTGTATCTTGGATCGTTGCTGATAAACTTGAATTGGACAGAAAGGCGGAAGGAAATTTATATTTTGTTATGTTGTGTCCGGTTCTGCATTCCCGAAGAAAGCGGTATGTTATACCGAAGAAGAGATATCTCAGATATATCGACGGAGTGATCGAGACTTCTCCGATATCAATCAATAATTATACTAACTTAATTACATTAGTTAACTAGTTAACTAGTTAACTAGTTATCTCTCAGTCATAACATTATGTCATTAACTAACGTTGTTAGTTGATGTATTTTATCACCTGCTCAGTCATACCACCAACTCAGCCACTGTGTAACCACGATACTAATTTGCTATGGGAAATTACCTTGTTGTGTTTGACTTAGAGGGTAGTCTCTCATACTAAATTAGTGTGATGGTACAAAGTGGCCGAGCATATGGTGAAATACGTTCCGCTTGAATTACCCCCAGTCATCTTAGTATAATTACAATACGGAGTACATACGCCTCCGCCCCAGGGTTCCAGTTGAACTTGGCGGCCCACTCATTTAACTATATAAAATAAACGCAGCTTAAGTGCTCAGTATTAGTGAACAATACGGCTATTCTAATCACGATAACTCTCTATTTTTTTCGGTTTTAGAACTCTCTTAGCTAAGTTTTAAGAGAACGTCACTTTGCACATCTCTAAATCTCTAATCAGCCTCAATGCCTTTAGCACCAGGGTTAGGGTAGGTTATGGATATATTAGGTCAGGATCAGAGGTTAGGATTGGATTAGTTAAGGGTAAGGACCTGAAAATATGATAAAGCATTGCCATCAAGCGCATATAGGATGTGTATGTAGTTTTAATGGGAGGGCGTCATGATCGCATAAACCTCACCGAAGGTTTTTACCGCACAACTTTAAAATCACGTTCAACTGTCCGCCTCTCCGCCCCTCCAACCCGTCATGTAACATATTATTCCTCATCTGAACGGGGTTGGTAGGAAAGAATAATATTCCGGGATACATTCAAGGAACTTCCGAAATAAAAGGACTTGGGATGATCGGTATCACTCATCCCCAGTCCCAGAGATATAGAGCCCTTGTTCCTAATCCTGCTTTGTCCCGGTCGGGGGTAATATTGAATGATGATGATCCTGTTTTAGATTTCTGACCAACAGGAGAAACTGGCGGACGGGTTTTGCGCTTACAGGTTGAACAAGGTAAGGTAGTTAAAATATAATGATGGATGCGACAGTGACAGCTAAAGTATCAGTGAATACCACGTCCACCATAGTCACGTGTCATCCCCCATATATTTAGGTAGGTCTCGGCTACTTTATACACAATGAGTAAGGGGCGTTTGATTAATAAAAGTAACATAACTATTTGTGCACAGGAGGTATGCAACATATGTAATAAGAGCATGATGAAGGTAAGGTGTATATTTTATCTTAAGAAGAACGTTATAGAATATGAACATATGAAAATGTATATATGAGTAGCATTTCTATGGGAATTTTTCCATCGGCATAAGGATGAGATACGGTTGAGATATCATGAGATAAATTAGCATGTCACAGTCCACAGTCAGAGATTCTTTAGGCGGGAGCATTTCAGGGGAGAAATGTATATGAATGGTATATAGGTCATATATTATCACTACCTCAAGTCAATTGCGGAAGAAAAGAAAGGGAAAAAAAGATACGAGAGGATACAAGGGGAAAAGCTTGTCTTGATGCTTGTAGAACTGGCGTCGGATGACTGTGAGCGCTCTTTTGAAACCTGAAAGTTGGACTCGAAAAGGCTTAGTTATTTCTATTAATGTCACATCAGGCATGAGGGGAAATTGAAGCACATGCAATACTTGATATCCACAATATCAGTTCC